GTGTGTGTGTGTGTGTGTGTGTGTGTTTGTGTGTGTGTGTGTGTGTGTGTGTGTGCGTGTGTGTGCGCCTGTGTGTAACTCGTCGGATCTTAGGGCTAACTCCAAATCCGTTAAGCCCTGAACCCGTTGACAACCAGTTCGGGGCGCAGGTCAGATACATTAGCCATGGATACCCTAGCTAGCTGTCCTCGCTACAGACTCTTTTTAGGACCGGTCCAATTAAGCAGTCCACGGGACAGCACTTAGTGAGCGATACCTCCCAGTGTTTTCTACCATGTCCTACTGAAACAAGACATTGGCTATGTCTCTTCACGCTTTAAAACTCCGAAACCCAAATTCACTCAGTCCGATGGCACGGTAAACATGCAGTGACCAAAACACTTGCGCTCAAACTCAATTGATCTGCGACATGATAGACGTGCATAGTCTATTTTTAAATTTGGAATACGTAAAAACGTAAAAGTAGATATTTGCACGAATCATAACATGAACAAGTGCAACAGTGGCGCAGTGCAGAGAGATATACCCATTGGCTTCCATTGTGGTGTGGTGGTGTAGTTGAACTCGGGGTCTTGCTAGGCAAGGTAGGGCCGATAGACACAGGCACACCACACACCCACCCCGCCACACCCACAGCAATACCGTACACTACGTACACAGCTCATACCATGTGAGCGGCCGAGATGGCGTACATAAACCGATACGAAGTCGTTCGGAAGAGGATATTGTACTCATTGACGTCCAGTGACGCCTGTTCGGTGGAATTGAACTGCGGGTACTGTACATTCAGCGACGGCTGTAGAGGCGAAAACTGATCGTAGAAGAACACCTGCACGTTTATGGTCTCGTAGTCACCCAGATCCGCGCAGTAGTTCTGCGATGGGTCACAGAGTGGTGAGTGTATGCCGATGGCCTGGATTTAAGTATAGGCCCACTAAGCCTCTGAGGATATACTGCGTTTTGTCCTAATAGGTTATAGGTGAATTGGCTGCTTGTTTGTATCTATACTGTGTTTTTGTTTCATAGACTAAAAGAGATTTGGCTGCTTGTTTGTGGTCTCAGATATAGTTGTTCTATATATAATAGGCGAATTGGCTACGCTGTGACGTAGAGTGGGTAGCTGTGACGTAGAGTGGGTAGCTGTGACGTAGAGTGGTTAGCATTAAATAAGATCCAGACAACAAGTGCGGGCTCGTAGCTCCCAAAGTACAAATATATATATACGTATGCACTCACAGATGACTTACAGATGTAAGCCCAGTACGTATTCAGTAACAGACGAAAGCCCGATACGTATTCACCAACAGATGAAAGCTTAGTACGTATGCACTAACAGATGTAAGCCCAATACGTATTCAGTAAAAGATGAAAGCCCAATACGTATTCACCAACAGATGAAAGCCTAGTGCATATTCACTAACGGAAATAAGCCCAGTACGTATTCAGAAACAGATGAAAGCCCAATGCGTATTCACCAACAGATGGAAGCCTAGTACGTGTTCACTATCAAAAATAATCTCAGTACGTATTCACAAACATAGATAAGCTCAGTGCGTATTCACCAACATATCAAAGCCTAGTACGTATTCACTAACAGAAATAAGCTCAGTACGTATTCACCGAAGCCTAGTACGTATCCACTGATAGTTGTAAGCCCAATAGATATTCACTAACAGAAACAAGCCCATTACGTATCACTGACAGACGTAAGCCAAGTACGTATTCTGTATCAGATGAAAGCAAAATACATATTCACTAACAGATGTAAGCCAAGTACGTATTCAGTATTAGATGAAAGCTCAATATGTATGGCTCTTATTCGTCACATACATACACACCGCTTCTAGGGCTTCAGCCGGAAGGAGCATGGCGTGACAAGTGGCATTGTTGCCAGCGCAGCGGTAGGTCTTCTTATTCTTCCAGATGGTCTTCAGTTGCTCCACTGTGTCAGAATAGTCGCGTAGATGTACAACGAAAGTTTATATGCACTTCAGGTACAAGCATACTCCAACGGTAAAGTTCAAAAGCCGGTTCACGAGATATGTATCTGGATTTGAAAAATCCAGTAAGCTGGTTCATTGAGGTTGACCTAGATAAAACATATATATATATATATATA